ACCTAGAAAGACATGCTTATACAGTGTCTTACGTTTTATGTCTGGCTTTCCATTGATTCTATGGGACCAAATTAAATCCCCCATGTAGAAAAGGAAGCTCAGACATGTGGCCACAAGATGCTCCTCTACAGGAAGGAGTAGCTTAACATGACCCCAGGTTACCTGCCTGGACCAAATACTGCTTTTCAGCTCGACAGTATTTGAGAACATCCTTCCAAAATCATTCCCAGTTGTACCATTTGTCCTGGAGTCAGGCGCTACCATCTAATCACTGTGAAATCCTGAATACAATCCTGAGCTCCTTGGAGTTTCAGTTTCTTAAGTCTGAGATAGGGATGAACAAGAGGTCAGTATCAGAGTTGGTGGAAGGGTCACATATAAAATGCAAGGCCAGCGCTTAGCACATAGTAAGTGTCAACAAGGTGACTGGAGAAACATAACTGTGCTCTGGGATCACATGCCTGATGATTAAAGTAGCAAATTGTCTAAAGACTAAAATTTTCCAATTTCTTAATAAAGTGTCTCCCTTTGCTTTTCTCTGTACTTGAGAGGCTGCACTTAGATTCTCCAGAACAGCTGATTTGCTCTGGCCCATTTGCTAGGAATGTCTGACAAAAGTGCACTGTCTGATTCAGGCGCAGTGATTGCTGTAGAAATTGGCTTTAGAATCTTCAGGGACTTCAGCAGCTGAACTAAGAAGACATCCTCGTCAAGTACAGTGCTTCCAACACTTCTGAGTACTTTAAGCTCTCAACTACTACTTTTTCTGGAAGTTCTTCTTTGTGTTTTAGTGAATTCTCAAAGGAGATTAATATTCCACACCATGGAGTTTTACTACCAACCTCCCATGTCAGTTTATTCTTTGTGTCCTTCTTTTTTGGTCTCAGCTTAGTGCAGGGTGGTGGTGTGCAATTTGCCAGTCGGCTGGCTCCTTTTCCTTCCTTTGCTCTTCTGTGGAGTGTCTGGCTCCATGCTGTCTCCCACAGCAGTGTGGTGCAGACACGGCTTCAGACTCTGGCTCTGCTGTGTGCTGGCCCTGTAGCCACAACAAAGCCAGTGTTCCTGTCTCAGTCTTCACTTTCTCAACTTTAAAATAGGGTTAATTGAAGGAATCTAACGTCTCAGATTGGAAGGTGCTGCTGTCTCTAAATCTTTTTGTAACCTTAGAAAGCAAGCAGGGACAGGAAATGCCCATCCTCTCGTGTAACGTGTGAGTTTTTATCCATTTGTGATTCTTGGTGCTGTTTCCATGTTCCTGGCCTTGTCAGTGAGCAAAGCCAGTACTTTACTGCTTGCTGTCTTCTGTCGGGTGGCACATATTTTATAACTGACACGTTCTGCCGTGTCGCTGTTTTCTGTGGTTTCTGAGCTTTGGCTCGTTTGTGTAAGGGAGGTGGCTGCTGCCGTCTTACAGTTTGAGAGTCTACTCCTGTCTGGCCATCCATTCAGCACCCAGGGCTCTGTCAGCTGTTCCTTGCACAAGTCCCACTGCCCATTCATATTCCCTCACTGAAGAAGGCTTGCTGGGAGAATGCTGCTGGGCAAATGGCATGATGATCTTAGTAATTTGAAAACTTCCTGCAATATGTGTTTCCATTATTGACAATGGTGTTGCAGAAGGATATATGGCTCTGGCAAGAGTTTGGTCAATTTTCCCCTGCTCTTCAGGTGTCCTCTGTGTACTAATGAAGCCACTGAGAGCATTTCATATGCAGTGCTTGCACCTGTGTCTGCTCAGGGGTCCTGGCCAGGTCGTCTTTGTGGTGACACTGATGTGACAGAACCAAGCACAGCTGTGTACCAAACCCAAGAAGCTCAAATGCTTCTTCCTCAGCATGGGCACTTCTCCCACATTTTAAAAAACTGGCACATGGTGCTTCCCAGATTCAGTTTGTTTTTAAAAATAGAATTTGGAAATGTGCCTTCCAATCAACAGTTCAGTGGATGACTTCCAGCAGGCAGAGGTTTCTACCTGCTGGAAGGTGGCTATACCATTTTGCAAGAGAGAAAGTTCCTCCAATAGGAACAGACTATAAGAGGAGGGTCTCCAGGTTAGCTGAGACAGCTTACTAGGTGCCCAGGCTCGCTCTCTCTCTCCTGAAGCTAGGGGGATGATTTTGTGAAAATATCTTAGATTATGAGGGTCTCTTGTGCAAAGGCTTATGGGAGCTATGCCTCTAAAACCCAAAATTCAGATGCATTTAAATTTCTGTTTTTAAGAAAGAGTCACACTTTTTCCTGACTGCTTGTAAGATAACAAAGCAGGAGAAACTTCGTTTCTATGTCTGTCTAGCTTCAAACATCTTCTCACATCTTCCCTAACTCTCCTCTGTCTTGGGCCTTTTTGGACCAATAAGTGGCATACTATTGATCTCTCTGGGAATCGATAGAACTGTGTGCCACAGTGCATCCCTGCAGTCCCAGCTACTCAGGAGACTGAGGTAGAAGGCTCACTTGAACCTAGGCCTGAGCAACACAGTGAGACCTGCATCTTAAAAGAATAAAATGCTGTCATTGCCCACTTTGGGTCCACTACACTGAGAGATGGTCAGGAAATACACATTTTTTATTGTCAACAGAAGAACTGATACCAAATCAAACACAGGTTCTTTGATCTCATAGTCAGAAGTGATCTTTTGGGCTGGGAATATAGTTCAGCAGCATAAGTGCTTGCTTGGCAAGCCTGAGGTCATGAGTTTGATTCCCGGTACCAAAAAAAAAGAAGTGATCTTTCATTTGGCTATTCTACCTTGTTGAGTTTTAGGAAATGCAAGATTTTTAGCTACATTGGACAGGTATAAGGAAAATCATTCTGTTGCATGATAAAGCTGAATCACAACAGACTTTCACTGTAAATCTCTTGCCTTCCTACAAAAATTCATAAACTACTGTACAGTTTAAATTGCTGTTAAAGAAGAAGCAGATGCATTTACATGCCATCCCAGTTTTACCTCTTTGTGGGAGAGCAACATTTATGAAACAATTAAAAAACAATTATAACCCATTAGGAATTGGCTGTAAGTGCAATGGAGAGATGGAGAATTAATCAAGTATTTGTTGAGTATGTACCATGTTCTCTTCTATGCAGGAGACAGCAAAAGACAGGTCCTGCCCTTGGCTTGCCTACAAAAAAACAAACCATGATATGAACAACAAGGCTGATTATGCACATAATGACATGGTATATGAGCTCACATGCTATATAGAATGTTAAAAGAAAGTTTCCTGATAACTAGGACAGTAGAAATTTTGAGGCTTGAGCTGGAAGGAGAGGGAAAGGTCATGGTGAAAGCACAGGGCTTTTATAGCACAGCGTAAAGAGTCAATGAAACCAGGCAGGGTAAGAATCAGAGCTGAAAAACTTGGGTGGAGTTACGCAAGCCTGCAGAGGTCTGATTCAGACTACAGCCTCTGGAGCATCAGTGATGGCTGTTGAAGGGAAGTTGTGCGGTAAGAGCCAGGGGCTACCCAAGCAGCCACACCTGGGATGGACAAAAGTGTGGAGGAGGAAGTACAAGCCGAGGGCAGGTGCCTGGATGCTAAGCAGGAAGGTGGTGAAGGAAATGGAAACCAGGCAGATGCAACGGACCTGGCTAGTGAGAATCAACAACACTGATGGGGGCACTGTCAAAGATTCTAGGTCATTGATCTTTCAGCCTTCAAAAGACTTGGTAGAAATGGGAAATGAATCAGCCTTGATTTCAATTAGGTTTGAGGTGACAGTGGGACAGCTAATGAGAATGTTCAGCAGGCAGCTGAAAATGCAAAAGCCTTAGCTGTAGCTCTGTTTTATACGTGGAGGATGAACCACTCAGATGTGTCACAGTAAGGGTGAGAAAACCGTACATCCCAGGAACGCAGGAGGTGAGGTCACCTGCAAGGGGAGAATGGCAGAGAAAGTGGTTGAACAATCAGAGTGATGCTGAGCAGGGCCCAACTGAGGAGGGGTAAACTGGGCACGGTGTGCAGAGCTGTTTGACTTCCTCCAGCCACACACCTTGTCTGCCAGGGCTGGACAGAGGCATGAGAGGTTAAAGTGGTGGCACTGGCTGCTGACAAGAAGGAGAAACTGCAGGAGACCCACAGGCACCAGGAAAGGATGGAATACTCTGCCATGTGCAAGTGTGGGAGGGAAAGGGCATATACTGCCATTGAAAGATGCACTCTGCCCACATGCTGCAAAGGGAGGCAGCACCCCCTCCGCAGCCACGGAGAGAGCTGGAAAGGAAGGGAAGCCAGCTGTGTGCAGCGGAGGGCCAGGGAAGTGTCTGTGGATTGGGGGCATCTCCCCAGTTCTCATTTACTATGCCTCCACTGCAGGACACTGGCAAGGAAGGCCCTGCCTCCCACCCTCCAGAATCCCAGCAACTCTGGAAGTGGGGGTGGATTTTGCTCATTGGAACTTGATCGATCCACTTCCATTGTTGGCTCAAAGCTCCTGATTCACTTCAGGATGGTTTTTTGCCATTTAAATGCCATAAACACTAACTGCAAAACAGCTCACTAGCTGGTCCCCGGCCCTCCACACCTGCCAGGCCCTGCACCTGCAGCTCCACTTGGAGAAGACAGCACCCCATCGGCCCCTGTAGGGGTGATGGTAAGGTGTTCTTGGAGCCTGAAGGCAAAATAGGGAGTCAGGGAGCGGGCAGGTAAGCAAGATGATAAGAGGTCCATTTGGCTACTGCAGAGGCCACAGCAGAATATCTTGCAGAGAAGGAGGAGTAAAACCAGGTCAGCTCTGCCCACCTCCATCTGGGTTTGCAATGCAGAGACACAGAATAAGGCAGGACGCACAGACGCTCAGACACAAAGAGCTGCACAGAACAGCAGTGTGCACACCGCTGATGTAGACATAGGGCAACACACTGGGACCCAGCCAAGGCACTTCCAGACCTGCCTGTCCAGGAGCACTGAGCTCCTTCCTCTCCAGGAGTGTCCTGGTGTGAGCAGAGGCAAGCCTCTGTCTTCCAGCCCTCACTCCATCCCCTTTGTTTTTCCAGGTCGTGACATGGCGAGCACCACTCTGCCTGGTTACCCCCCTCATGTGCCCCCTACTGGCCAGGGAAGCTACCCCACCTCCACCCTGGCAGGGATGGTTCCTGGTAGGTGACAACGCTGCTGCTGCTGCCTGAGATGGGTGATGACACAGTGGGTGCGCTTCTGAGCGCTCTGTAGTCGGGAGTGGGGTGGAGGACCCAGCACCCGCTCCCTGCAAACTCCCTGTCCGTTGGTCCCTCTCTCATGAACAGCCCAGACAGGAAGCTTGCAGAAGGGCCCCTCCCATCCCATGATGAAGCTTTACATCATGGCCCCTCCCCAGCGCCCATCCACCAGAGCCTGCACCCCAGGAGCCCTGGGCTCAGCCCACTCCCTGCTCCAGCCCGCCCCAGCCAGCTGACTCCACTTAGAAGAGCCTGTCCTGGTTTCCATGGAAACTTGGAGCCAAGAACCTTTTCCAGGGGCATGTCATTCAGTCAGACAAAGCCATCCTGAGCCACACCAAGCCAGAGGGAAGACCAATGTGGAGGACCAACCCAATCCAGAGAGAAGAGAGAGCAAGTCCCTAAGAGAACAGGGACAGGCTATGGCAGAAGCCCAGAGGTCAGCTTCAGAGAGCTGGGTTTAGAGCACCCCCAAGGACGTTGGCCCTTGCTGCTCTCCTGAGGCTCTGAGCCACCCTTTGCCTGTGAGGTGTGGGATTTGGGTTGTGTGGATCAGGGAAACAGGCTGGCCCCTGAGGCTGGAGGTATGCTATCCTAATCTCTCTCAGATGGGGAGCAGCGCTTGAAGCCAAAGAGTAGAAGTTCCTATCTGCAGAAACAGTCTTGTCTTACAGAGGTTAGGATCACCTCAGCTTACAACCCATTGCCTCTAGGGACCATCTTGTGTGCTCTGTCCCTGATGTTCAACTATCACTGGCAGGGGGAGATAGAAGAGGTTGAGTGGTCGCATCTACTTGGGAACAGCCCTGGGTAAACAGCGTAGGGTGTGAGTAGAGCAAAGAGGGTGCTGCAGGGGGCTCGGGAAGGGGGCGGAAGGAAATGGGAGGTGTGAGTGAAAGGAGTCCTGCCCAGACTTGGAGAAGTAGAAGCATTGTTGGGGGGCAGACTCTTGGGGGAAGGTTCCAGCAGCGAGCCGGTGGAGGCTGGAGGAGGTCTTGGGGGAGGGGTGGAGTGGGGAGGTGGGTGTGCGGAGTTTGCAGGGAGGTGGGGATGAGGGGAGCCGCAGAGAGCTCATGGTGGCACGGGGGGAGTCGTTAAACAGAATCTAGTGCTGATGAGGAAATTACACTTGTTTCATTAGCGATGGGGAAGGAGATAGCTCAGTTCCTCTTGGTCACAGTTGAGCTCAGAAGCTCATTATCCTGCTGCACGCATGCTTTCCCTCCTCGTCAATAAACAGGCTTTCCAGTGGCTGCATCCCCCACCCCCACCCAGCTCCCTCTCAGAGAGGGGCCCTTCTCCTCTACTTAACCCGCGGTTAGGGATCACTGTAAACAGTCTGGGGTCACCACACAGGAGAAAGGGCGAGGGGGAAACCCGGAGGCCTGGCCTTTCTGCCAGAGGAGGGAAGCGGCTTCCGACGGCTCCAGGCTCAGGGGTTCCGCTCCCAGACGGCGCGCAGCCCACCTGCTTTTTGCACCCCCGCCCCTGCCGCGTGGCCCACGTATCTGAACTCGGCGGGACAGGGCGGGGGTCCTAGCAGAGCACCCCACCTCCGTTGGCACCCTGCTGAGTGGGACAGAGCGTCCCAAGGGCCTTTCTTGGCCGCCTTCCCGCGTCCCACCCTGTGAGGCGATGGCTCCTAGAACCACGGTGCCCACTGTAACAACCCTTGGAACCCCAGTTAGCGGGGTAGATGCCCTCAGACCAGACCGAACCCTTCCCAGATGGCAGAGGGCACCGCTGGGGGAGCCAGGCGTGCACGG